GGGAATAGGGGGCACATGCACCCCAGATATGTGCTCAGGGCAGGTGCAGACTGGGGCACCTGCCCTGCTGCCCTCCCCCTGCTACACTCCCTGCCCTGCCGCCCTCCCCTAGGGCTTCTGCAGCCCAGTGGGTGGGACCCAGGCTGCCTGGTAGCCATTAGGGCTGTGCGAAGCTTTGGTCCCAATTCAATTTGGAGGAGTTTCAGCCTGATTTGGTGGCCAAATCTCCAAATCGAATTAGAGGACCCTTTAAGCTCTCTGAATCAAATCGGAACCCTCTGAATCAATTCAGAGAGATTCGGAAAGATTCAGAGATTCAGACATAGAGACAGCTTTAAATGTTTTTTCTACATACCTCTAGGTAGCAGGGATTTGTGAGCGCTGTGATGCTGGGGTGCATGGAGTGTCCCACAGAAGCACAGAGGGCTCCCCAGTGTGCTCAGAAGCAGACCCAGAAGTAGACCAGAAACCACCACTGCACCCCCTTGGCTCAGCAACGGGTGCCTTTGGGGTCTGGGGGGGTATCCAGGGGCCCCCCATGGCCAATTGCCAAGCCAGGGGGGTATGGTGGGGGCCCCAGTGGACCTGCAAGTGGTCCGGGAGTACTTCTGGTCCATTTCTGGGTTTGCTGATGAGCACGTGGAGGGCCCCTCTGTGCTCCTAGGGGACACTCCATCCACCTCAGCATGGCAGCGAACACAAGCCACGGTGGTAACTCAGGGTATTTAGAAAAAACTTTTAAAGCTGTGTCTATGGCCGAGTCACTGATTTTCTGAATCAGCATTGAATCTTCAGATTCAGATTAGGCTGAATCGAATCAGGGACAGTGATCCAAATCAACAAATCGAATCAATGTCCCTGATTCCGGCCAAATCCAAATCTGAATCAAATAGGGCCTGCTTTGCACACCCCAGTAGCCATGCACATGTGTGAGTGCCCACATGCACGTGTCACCCCCTGCCTGACCACCCTCTTCCTGTTCCCCCCAGCCCCTTGCAGGCTGGAACTCTGCCAGTCTGCAGGGAGCTCTTTGCAAAAATGGAAAATCTGTGTGTTTCACTGTTAAAATGAAAAATCAGTGTTTTTCTCAGGTAAAAGGGAAAAAAAAAAAATTTGAAAACCTGGATCCCTCATAATGATAAAAATGGTTATACCTCCTCCTGCAGCAACCTAATTTCTCTGAAGTTATGAGACTGGCCTATAATGGGAGTATCTTCAGGGATATCAGCAGGTGGCAGACTTCCCTTTAAAGTTATTTCTGATTTGATGTCTAACAGAGTTTTAGAAAAGCATGTTGCTTTTCATGAATAAGAGGCCCTACAGTAGGACTAAAGGGAGTGTACAGAAGTTGCTTTTTTTGCTATTTAAAGTACTATATCACCACAACTGAACAGAATTACACAGCTTTACTGCACCTTAATAATGGGTACAGCACTTTAAATTAACCCTTATTGAATAAGGTATTAAATTTGAAGCACTGTATTTTACAGCACTTTAAATAACTTCTGGATGCTGGTCAAATTTCTGAGCAGTGGAGAAGTCCCAAGAGGCTGTGGAACACCCCCTGCCACCTAGCCTGGAAAGTGCAGGGAGGCTCAGAAGTCCCCCACCCCACCAAATATTGTACTTCTGTCATGTTTAAGAGTGCTGTAACTTTATAGTACTATAAAAAGTGCTCTAAATTACAGTGCTGTAAAATGTGCAGAGCACTTCTGTACAGACCCAAAAGGTCCAGGGCACCTAGCAATATTAGGTGCATTACCTTTGGTGTTTGGATCTGGTTTTTATACTCTACCTGTTTAATAGGCAGTAAGGACTTGAGCAACATGGGTTCTATTCTTGGCTCTACCGCTAACCTACTTTGGGAATGTCATTTCTCTCTGTACCTCAGTTTCCCCATCTCTTAAAACAGGTATAATGATACTTTTATAAAGTGTTTTGGGGTCTTTGGCTGATAAGTGCTACAGAAAAGCTAGGCATTATCATCATCACCACCACAGTGTATTACCAAATATTTTTAATACACTTTCACCTGTCTGATAAACATGTAGGCACCAGCAGGTTTCTATTTTACAATCATGTTATTATTATTTGGTTTTTTTGCTTAAAATGTTTTTTCTTTTTAAATCTGATGAAGGTTTTATCAGAGGCATAACAAGTCAGCAGGGCACAGAGGACAGCAGTGACACATGGAGGCAGCAGTGACATCTAGTTGCCAACGTGCTGTCAGCACGATTGTGTGTCTGAAGTGACAACTATTAATTTGTTGCTCACTCCACCAAGCTGGCAGTTGCTCTAGTTGCCCTGCCTTAGTCAGGCTACTAAGTTTTATATCTAATGTGGCTGACATTATTTTTAATAGCTTTTCCTTATTTAGTCTTAAAACCAGTCAATATCACTACAAGCTCACTTTCCTTATGCTAACAATTCTATACAATTTTATATTTATTAGTTCCAAGAGATCCCAAAACCTACAGGCAGACTGTACACAGTATAGGAATCCTGCACCTCCGAGATGAAAGCAGGAGCTAAATTATTGCACAGCACTGTACAATACACATAATCAGGACATGAAAGTGGTGACAGCTCTATTCAGTTGAAAATGCAGGGAATATAGTTTCACAGTTTCTAGGGTCGGAAGGGACCTGAGCAGATCATCTAG